GGGGCTTCGGTCAGACCACGCCCCCACGGGACGCAGTGCCATATTGAACCCGATGTGGGATGGGCCTTCGCTGGAATCAGCCAATAAAACTTCGCCTGCGACTAATAAAAAATCGAGGTAATTTTTATTATATTTATTGTTATTATTTATTATTATTTATTATATTTATTATTATATTATTTATTATTATTATTATATATTATTAATATTATAGGTGGAAATCGATTATATAATAATATTATAATATTGAACAAACAATAATAAATAATAAAACTACATAATTAATAATTAAGTAACATTAAATGAATAATAATAAACAGTGAAAATAGGTAATAATAATAAATCTAATTAATTAAAATAATAAATAATAATTAATTTGAGTTCCTCAAGCAAATCAACTACCTCAGCGAGTGCGAGTGCTGGAAATAAAGGTGCTGGACGGCAGCAAGCGGGTAATAATAATGCAAACGACGAACACGAGGTTTCTATCTCTAGCTCTCTCATTTTCTCATACACACTTTCTGTTTTTTATATCTAACTCTCTGCAATTCTCACGCACATTTCAGGCGATGAAAAAGTTGTTCAAGCAGTCCGTATCGAGTCAAGTGAACACGTTCACGAGTTGGATCGTGCAGAGGGTGAAACACCTGAACGGACAGGTGGATGCCGACGTGTTCGCGGCATTCATAGAGGGCGTCGATAGTCCGGATGAGGTTGGCAGATTTCTATCTCTATTTCTCTCATTTTCTCATGCTTTTTATTATTTTTTGTTATTATTTATTATTGTTATTATTTATTGTTGTTTTTTTTGAATTATTATTCGAATGGTCTCTGCGTCTCTGCCAGTGGGAGACAGATTCTGCCAAATGAACTCTGACTGTCTGTGCTCTGACCGATACTTCTTATGGTGTTTATGTTATTTATTGTTAATATTATTGTTGTTATTTATTACTATTTATTATTATTATTTATTATTATTATTATTAATTATAATTAATAATTCAGATAG